AAATAATGGCACAAGGTTAGTTCTCAGAGATGTGAAGCATATTCCTGACATTCGCTTGAATTTAATTTCTACAGGTAAACTTGATGATGAAGGGTATTGCAGCACTTTCAGTGATGGCCAGTGGAAGCTCACTAGGGGTGCTATGGTTGTGGCTCGCGGTATGAAGCACTCTGCACTGTACGTTCTGCAAACAAAGATCTCCAACGACATTGTTAATGCGATGGAGGATATGATACAACAAAATTGTGGCACAAGAGACTGGCTCACATGAGTGAGAAAGGATTAGCTCTACTAGGGAAGAAAAGTCTACTATGTGGCCTGAAAAGTACACTTCTGAAAAGGTGTACTCATTATTTGTCAGGGAAGCAGAGCAAAGTCTCCTTCAAGAATTCCTTTTGTTCGAGAAAGTCAGAGATACTGGATTTGGTACATTCAGATGTGTGTGGCCCTATGAAGATGAGAACACTTGGTGGGTCAAGATACTTTGTGACCTTCACAGATGACTATTCAAGGAAGTTGTGGGTATATACCTTGAATTCAAAAGACCAAGTGTTTGCAGTGTTCAAGCAATTCCAAGCCCTAGTTGAGAGACAGACTGGGAAGAAACTGAGATGCATTCGTACTGATAATGGCGGGGAGTATTCTGGTCCTTTTGATGAGTATTGTAGACAACAGGGTATTTGGCATCAAAAGATAACTCCAAAAACTCCTCAGTTGAATGGCATAGCAGAAAGGATAAATAGGACACTGGTTGAGAGAGTGAGATGTTTGCTTTCACAAGCCCAATTGCCAAAATCTTTTTTTGGGGGGAGGCATTGAGCATAGTTGTTCATGTGTTGAATCTTACACCCTGTGTTCCTCTACAATTTGATGTGCCATACCGAGTTTGGACAGGTAAAGATGTATCCTATAATCATTTGCGGGTTTTTGGGTGCAAAACATTTGTGCATATTCCAAAAGATGAAAGGTCCAAACTTGATGTGAAAACGCAACAGTGTATATTCCTTAGCTATGGCCAAGATGAGTTTGGGTACAAGCTTTATGATCCAGTTGAGAAGAAAATTGTGAGAAGTAGAGATGTCGTGTTTGTAGAAGATCAGACGATTCAGGATATTGAGAAAGTAGGGAAATCTATGTCTCAACAAGGTGATATCTTGACTGATATGGATCCAGCTCCTCTGAAGAATCTCCCATCTCAAGTTGAAAATGATGGTCAGGATGACCACCAGTGTACAGGTGATGTGGATGATCCCTTACAGGTTCAGGGAGATGTTGAGACTGATGAGCAGTTGACAGCGCCAGAGATTCCACCAGTGATTCCATCCAGGAAGTCTGGCAGAGACCGACGTCCTTCCACTCGGTATTCAGCAGAGCAGTATGTGTTATTGACTGACGGTGGAGAGCCCCAGTGTTTTGCAGAAGCCATAGAAGATGAACAAAAGACAGAGTGGGTTGAGGCCATGAAAGATGAGATGCAGTCATTGCATGATAACCACACCTTTGAGTTAGTGAAGCTACCTAAAGGAAAAAGAGCTTTGGAAAACAAGTGGATTTACAGGAAGAAGCAAAATGAGTTATCTTCACGGCCACGGTACAAAGCTAAATTGGTTGTCAAAGGGTTCAGTCAGAGAAAATGTTTGACTTTGATGAGATCTTCTCTCCAGTCGTAAAGATGTCATCGATCCGTATAGCACTCGGCCTAGCAGCTAGTCTTGACTTGGAAGTTAAGCAGATGGATGTGAAAACTACCTTCCTTCATGATGATTTGGAGGAAGAGATTTATATGAAGCAGCCAGAGGGTTTCAAAGTGAAAGGGAAAGAGGATTATGTGTGCAAGCTGAAGAAAAGCCTATATGGAACAAGCACTAAGACAGTGGTATAAGAAGTTTGAGTCTGTTATGGGGAAACAAGGCTACAAGAAGACAACTTCTGATCACTGTGTATTTGTTCAAAAATTCTCTGATGATGATTTTATTATTCTACTGCTTTATGTGGATGACGTGTTGATTGTTGGCAGGAATGCTTCAAGGATTGAACAGTTGAAGAAGCAATTGAGTAAGTCATTTGCTATGAAGGATTTGGGGCCAGCAAAGAAAATTATTGGCATAAGAATCAGTCGTGACAGGAGTGTCAAGAAGTTATATTTGTCACAGGAGGAGTACATTGAAAAAGTGCTTCAGAGGTTCAATATGGACAACTATAAAGTGGTTAGCTCTCCTCTTGCTACCCACTTCAGACTAAGTACAAAGGAATATCCTTTTACAAATAAGGAAAAATGAGACATGGAAAAAGTTCCTTACGCCTCAGTAGTAGGAAGTTTGATGTATGCAATGATTTGCACAAGACCAGATATAGCCCATGTAGTTGGTGTAGTTAGCCGATTCTTGTCAAATCCGGGAATAGAGCATTGGAATGGTGAAGTGGATCATGAGATATCTTCGAGGCACTTCCAGTTTGAGACTTGGTTTGGTAAATGGACAACCATTGTTAGTTGGCTACACAGATGCAGATATGGCAGGGGATGTGGATACTCGTAAGTCTACTTTGGGTTATTTGATCACTTTTGCAGGTGGGGCTGTAGGTTGGCAATCGAGACTTCAGAAGTGTATTGCTCTTTCTACGACAGAGACAGAGTTTATTGCAGCAACGAAAGCGACTAAAGAGTTCCTATGGGCAAAGAAGTTCTTGAGAGAACTTGGTTTCAAGCAGCAGAGGTATGTGTTGTTTTGTGATAGCCAGAGTGCTATTCATCTTGCTAAGAATTCCAGTTTCTATGCAAGATCTAAGCACATTGATGTATGATACCATTGGATCAGAGATGCGTTGAACAATAAGTTACTTGAACTTGAGAAGGTTCACACTGATGATAATGGCTCTGATATGTTGACAAAGACATTACTAAGAGAGAAGCTTGAAGTTTGTTGTTCGATCGCCGAGATGGCGATTCCCTCCACATAGTCAGAAAAGGGGGAGATTTGTTGGGTTTATTTCCTTCTATATGGAGGAAAGCCCTAGTGGGTTTTATTAAAAGCCCAAAGCCCAGCCTTTAGGGAAAAGAAAACCCTAAGGAAGTTAGTATAAAAAGAGAGAGAGGTTAGCCGCAAGAAAAAGAACAAAGAGAAGGAAAACGTAGGTTTTTTCCATTCTGCCCAGGTTTGATCAAACGTCCGATTCCGCTTCGTCCATGGTCCGATCAAGCTAAAATTTGGAGGATAGGTTCACGACTCAGTGACGCACAATCTGAACGGTGAAGATCAGATTTTGAGCTCGGCAACAGTGATTAGTGCCCATGAACAGTAACCGGGTTTTGGTAGAAAAACGTAGGTAAAACTATTCTGCCCAGATATCATCAAACATCCGATTCTGCTTCGTTCATGGTCCGATCGAGCTGAAATTTGGAGGAGAGGTTCATGACTCAATGAGTTAAAATCTGAACAGTGAAGATCGGACTTTGAGCTCGGGAACAGTGATTCGTACCGTGAACAGTAACCGAGTTTTGGTATTTTTCTCTCTAATTCTCTTTGTTTTTTGCCAAGATTGTTGCTATCTTGATGAGATATTTTGTAGCCTCTAATTGCTATTAAAGAAGACTTTGTGTACCCATTATTTGGTTGATGGTGGAAATTTTAACTGGACTAGGTCTCGCGGTTTTTCTTCCTCACACTCAGAAAGTTTTCCACGTAAAAAAAATTTGTTTGTGTTCTTGTGGCTTGGTGTGATTGATTTGTTCTTTATTATTTTCAGCATATATAAAAGTAGAGATATACTATATTTGCTTGAATATAGGTTGAAGAATTATTCCGCTATATTTATTTATTATCATCTCCCTCAACAAATCCATACCCCAATCATTAACAGTGTTAATCCATGCCCCAAGAAGAAGCTGCCTTCCAAGATTTTTAACTTTATTGGCAATCACAAAGATTTTATTTCCGCTGTGGCTACAGTTTGGAACATGCAGATACAAGCCTTGATTTGATCAGACAAATTTCATTCACAATTTCTAACACGTATTATATCATATACATAATTGAAAAATGAACCAGAACCTTTACAAGGGCTCTTTAGGAAGAACTTGGTGGCACCCATATGCTCCACCAACTCCCCAAGGGTGTACTGTATTGTCATAGTTGTTCTAATAGCTAAAACTTGATTTGCAGAGAATAGTCAAAACATTTAAAATCAAGAAACACACTAAATAAATGAAACTCAATTTTTTTTTTTTTAATTACTATTTTCTATTTTACAATTGAAAGTCAAATTCACATTAACTCAAAATAACACTGCCAAAAAGACTATTACTACATGAGACTTGTTACCCACAAGTACACAACACTAACAAAGATTTCTTACATCAGACATGGTATAGAGATTAGAAGCTAAACAATTCAATTCAACCAGAGATGTCAATAGCCTTGGCATAAGGCTTCTTCACTTCCTCCTTGGGAACATAAAAATAAAAATAAGAAAGCGTGTTATGTTTCAAATTTTAAGTCAAAAAATAAAATAAATAAGCAAGCATGTTATATTCAAATTTCAAGTTTGTGTAAAATATGTTAGAAACGCAATTTGGTTTAGGAGCAAGTAAAATAAAAATAATAATAAGAATAAGAACATTATAGTCTAATAAAACAATTAATTGAGTCTTTTTAAATATTTTTATTAACGGATTTGATAGTATGATAACACTAGGGGTATAAGATCTAATAAACACCAAACATGACTGTCCTGCCTAATTAGACTAAACCTCAGTGAGATTAGTATATTTTGCCAATAAAATAAAAATAAGAAAACACGCTATATTTCAAATTAATGATGATAAAACAAAAGGCAGAAAAAGAGTGGGTTATTGAAGCTTCTCTTAGCTATCAGAGCCAGGTTTCGATCCTGGGACCTGTGGGTTATGGGCCCACCACGCTTCCGCTGCGCCACTCTGATTTGTTGATTGAATGGTTAAATGAATACTAATATTTTATAAATAACGAAGTTTGGTTCAAAATTGTGCTGATAAGGTTGCTTGGTTTCAGTTATTTGCTCTGAAAATCAATCATGGCCTCAATTCCATGTACTATCCAACTAGCCTTGTCATCAAAACCCTGTAATTATTCGTCTTCTTCAAGTGGGTCGATTCAATGTTCGTCCAACCTTGGTTCACAGTTTCTGGGTATCCAAAAGAGGCTCGGATGGTTCAGACCCTCCAAGATCGGACCCAGCTCAGGTTCCAGAGCTACATGTTGGTTCAAATTCGGTAAAAATGGTGTCGATGCTGAGGGTGCTGGCATTTACGGCAGCCAAACTCGAGATGATTTCGACCGCGACGATGTTGAACAGGTACTACTTTCTCTCTCTAGAATTTTGCAACCTCAGTAGAAATTTCGAGAGACCAACTAACTGTTCTTAAGCATTTTTAAGTAAGTTCAAACAGGGCTATCCTACTTATTGAAACTGTTGGTGGTAGGTGAAAGATGAAATCTTATCTGTTTATCTTTGTATGCTGTTTTCGTTCACTGACATGACCTAAATTTTCTGATATTCATGATCTTGAATTTGCATAAGAAATAGGATTCAAATTGGGATATCTAGAAATACTTTTGATTTTCTTTGAAATGTTGTACCTAAGCAGAGGATAACAATTCCACTTGTACTGAGATATATATATATATATATCTCAAGGGTTAGAGAACCTGTGTGTGTGTATGTATTTATTGATTAGTCATCAATAGATGCGTTGGAGTGAACATGTGTGATCACTTATTAGTTGTGGGATGAAAAGATACATCTCAAAATCAATAAATATAACATATTCAATGTGAACCATTGCAACCTATTATAGTGGGTGTATCTGGTGATGAGCCGACACATATAAATGGTTGTGTCCAGTGAAGAGAGACACCCAATCGTTCAATTCATTTTCTTCTCTCTCCCTCTTTAGACTTGAACTTAACCTAAGTGGGTTCAAACTATAGGTCAAGTGGTCCAAGCTACTTAGACTCTAATCCAATTTCATCGAGCCATATTAAGATTGTCCGAACTATTTGGTTCGGATTGCAGTACCCAATTTAGCATTTATATAGTATAGATGTATTTTTAAGTCAGAAAAAGTATTACACAGAGGAGGTTCGTTGTATTCATGAGTTTGTAGTGATACTACTAATAAATGTAAACCGTTGTATCTTGGAAGACCAGCGCCGCAGAGTCTGTCAACACCATGCGAGGCGTAAATTGTCTTAAGGACATAGTATTCAATACTAGCCTTGATCCAGGTTCTTTATTTATTATTATTATTTTATTGCTTTAATTTGCATGTTTAATTAAATATCGAGTTGCATATTTAATTAATTATTTTTTAACATATTATTAATTATCTCATCACATAAATTTTTATTATTTATTTATTTTTATTATTATTTTTTTTTTTTTGAAAAGTTAAGCAAGTTTTATAGATAGAAAGAAAATACAAAGAGGGCCTTTGGCCAAACACAGCCCAAGATTTAGGCAAACAAGCCCAACAGCCAAACCCCAGACTAAAGCCTATTCCAAAAACAAACAAATATCTTGTGTTAAGGAACTGAAAGCCGATAATAGAAGCTCTTTGTTGATAGTTCTAGTGTACAAGCCTTAACGGTGACAGAGAGATCGACCAGCTCATCATTCGTCTGGCGGTCTCGGAGGTGGTCTGCAACATAGCGATAAATTCCAGGTGCTCAGAATCGATCTCGAAGTTGAGTCGTCGTGAAAGCAACCTAATTTAAGGAGAGATGTGATGGAGTTGCAAACTTTGGACAAAATCGCTCCCTGCAAAAATGTCATCCCATGAAAGATGCGATTGTTCCGTTCTTCCCAAGTATGATAAACCATGGCTGAGAAACATATCTTCCTTACCATATTAATTGATGAATTAACCCTCCAACATTGACAAATCCACAAAATCATCTCTTCCTATGTAGGAAACGATTTATAGAATCTGCACCTGTCTTGGATGAACTTCCATAGAGGGGAGGAGAAGACACATTTGAAGAAGAGATGTGTGTGTGATTCAGTTTCAGTGTGGCATAGAGCACATATGTTTTCATGGTGAGCTATTGCCTTGCTATCAAGAGTAGGTAATCTGCTTTGGACAGCTAACCACATGTTAAATCTCATTCTTGGAGTCGTTGGTGATTGCCAAACCAGGTTGTACCAAGGTACCGGAGCTCCATGGCCTGTGAGATGGAGTGTTGTGTGCTTTAAGCTGAATGAAAATTGTTTGATTAGTCATCAACAGATGCATTAGACTGAACATGTGTGATCACTAGTTAGTCGTGGGATGAAAAGATGTAACTCATAACTAATAGATATAACATATTCAATGTAAACCATTGCAACATATTGCAGTGGGTGTGTCTGGTGATGAACAGACACATAAAAATGATTGTGTCCAGTGATGGAGAAATACATATAAATGGTTGTGTCCAGTGATGAAGAGACACACCCAATCCGAAAAGGCACTTCTATTTCTATAAATACCCCCTTGGACTGCCATAATGCAATCGTTCAATTCATTTTCTTCTCTCTCCCTCTCTAGACTTGAACCCAACCTAAGTGGGTTCAAACCATAAGTAAAGTGGTCTGAGCCACTTAGACCCTAATCCAATTTTATTGAGTTATATTAAGATTGGTCCGAACCATCTGGTTCGGATTACACCCAATTTATCATATATATAATATAGATGCATTTTTGAGTTAGAGAGAATATTGCACAGAGGATGTTCGCCGTATTTACGAGTTTTAGTGCTGCTAGTGATAGATGTAGACCGTTGTATCCTGAGAGACAAGCGCCAAGAGTCCGTTAGCACCATGCGGGGCATAAATTGTCTTAAGGACATAGTATTCAATACTAGCCTCCATCTAGGTTTTTATTTATTATTATTATTTTATTACTTTAATTTGCATGTTTAATTAAATATCAATTTGCATATTTTATTAATTATTTTTTAGCATATTGTTCATTATCTCATGGCATATTAGTATAAGGTTAGTTATATTTAAATGCCCTTTGAAACATATGTTTTCCAACATAAGTAAGTGTAACAACTTTGAAATTGATTCTGGGTAAAAGGGTTTAATAAAAAAATGCAGTGACTTAATATGCATTTCAAGGTTTTGAGTTAAATTTTAGTATTTGTCGTTTCAAGTTTAACGCCCAAATCCAGTTGTGAAGATGTTGAAAATTATTGCCAGGAATGGTGAGACAATGAGAGTGCCTGTAGATTTGCACCTCCAACTTTGGGGTGCAAGTATTGAAAAAAATAAAAATAATAAATTGCTTTATGTCTACCAAATATAGGCTTTTGATTTTGAAGAGGAACGTAGTTGGGGAAGGGAAGATTCAACTACTAAAATGTTGGCAGTGTCATATGCACTCAAATTTTAGCGCAACTAATCACTTTCATAGATGCTTTTAAGCATTTACATGGCTATTTAAATCCTGTCATATCTCGTCTTTATTTTCAGTGTTTTTTTTTCCCTCTTATTTCATAAAAGTTCCTTCAGTAGATTTCATTATCAATGATGAGAATCAAATAGCGATTGTGATTTTCAACTATTGCCAACAGTCAATGTCTTCAGATTCTTTGTTTCATTTTCACGAGGTTAAGAATTATCACGAGTGCCTGTGCATTTTTGTGCAAGGGGCTGATCTACCCTTTTCATCGCACCGTTTAATTCCTCAGTTCCTCTTGTTTGTTGCTTTTCACTTGGTTCACATTTTGAAAAATCGATTTAAATTTACTTTTCCAATTGTTTTCATAATTAGTAACCATTTCATCACTGAATTGCCAAAGATTTGACCGTAGTGTTTATCTTTTATTTGATTCTATGGTTGGAGATAAATTTTCTTTCCACCCAGATATCTAGACGTGGTGTAGAAAGTCATCTTTTGTTTGTTTGGAAATTTTGCTTCATATCCTCTGAAATAATTGATCTGCATCTATATCTTGTTATTGAGATTATACTATATTTTAAGCCTAACTGTACTGTGTGTCTTGCAAAAATATACAATCTATATTTGATTAGGTTAAGGTTTCATGACTAATATGATCAGTACGTACACTGCAGTACTTCAACTACATGGGGATGCTTGCTGTGGAGGGTTCATACGATAAGATGGATGCTCTCTTAAGCCAAAACATCCACCCAGTAGACATCTTGTTGTTGATGGCTTCCTCGGAAGGTGATAAGCCGAAAATTGAAGAGCTACTGCGAGCTGGTGCTAGTTATACTGTCAAGGATGCAGATGGACGGACTGCGCTTGATAGAGCAGCGAGCGATGAAATCAAGGACTTCATCCTTGGTTTTTCAGTTCAGAAAACATGATCAGAACTTTTCTTACAAGAACAAATTTTTGTATTTGTTTTTGTGCTTGGTTATTCGCTTTTCGTATCCATCTTTTTAGTTTGTTATCTGTTCTCCTAGCGATCATTGAAGTCCATTCGACTGGGATATTTTAGCAGATGTAACTGAAATCATGCAATTACTGGTGACAAAATTTAATGATTTCATCAGAATTTTTATAAAACATTATCAGAGTTTGTTACAAGACTAAATTTTTGTATTTATTTTTGTGCTTGTTTAGCCCTTTTTGTTTCCAATTTTTTATATTTCCATCCTTTGAGTTTGTATTCTATTCTCGTAGCTATTGTTGAAGTCCATTCGACTCGGCTATTTTAGGAGTTGTAATTGAAATCACGAAATTACTAGGACGTAATTGAATGGTTTCCTCAGAATTTTATAGTCATTTAGGTTAGATGAAAACTAATAGCAAAAGTGTGAGTGATCCGTATGTTTCGAACTAAAATATTTTTATTTTTTAGGTAAAATATTTTTTTTATTTGTACTTTTCGATATTTGGTAAAAGTCTAAATGAAAGTTGACGTTGAGTCTTTTGAACGGGACCTATAAACTAACTTACAAAAAATTAATGGATAAATTATTTTTGTAAAATTTTAATATATTTTTTTTTCATAAATATTTTATAACAACCAAATACCAGAAAATAAAAAAATATTTTCGGTAAAATATTTTACATCCAAACAAACCAAGCCAAAAAAATTACTTTTCCGCTATGCAATCTTTTTAACTTTAAATTTTTTCAAGAAAGTTATGAAAAAATATTATTTTTATAATTGGAATGCATGCAACTTATAAGGAAAAAAGGGGTATTATAGTAAATCACACAACTTTCTTGTAGAAAAAATTTATAAAAAGTTGGATGGTTAAGGAATTTTATTTTATTTTTTAAGATTTTTCCTTTTCAGCTATCCAAACTTCTAAAATGAACATAACAGAAGGAGGAAATTTTTTTAAAAATATTTCTTTTCTTTTTTACTAAATTCATCTAGTCAAACGAAGCCCAGGAATTAATAAAAAAAACTTCATTGATCTTTGAATGAATCATTAATTATTGAAAGTTATAAAGCACGATTGAAAAACACAGATATATAAATGGAGAAGTTCCATACCTTATTACTAGAAGAAGTTAGAAATTTTGTTGTGAATAGAAATTGCTAATGGCTTTTGTGCCGTGTATGAACTGAAATGCCTATAATAATTTTTGTGAAGTGGTATGTGTAATGTAATAATCTGAATAGGAAGACTATAATTCATCTGTTCACCCCAAGTGATCGTGTCAGATGACGATGTTGGGAAACGGAATTTTAAAAACATTTTAGAGGGATTTTTAAAAATAAATCTTAATTTATGTGTAGAAACAAGTTTTATGCATGAAGAATATGATGATTCATTTAATTAAGGAAAAATTACATATAAATGGAGTTAAAGTTCCATATTTACTTATAGGCTGAGTCAAAGTTCCATATTTCTCTAAAATAGATTGCTGAGGTGGCACATGGTTTTTTACTGTTTAGAAATTGTGGTGCCTAAAATACCCTTCCGCGAAGGTACTACTTTTTCTTCGAAGGTACTACTTTTTTGAACTGAAGGTACTACTTTTTAGCGTCCAGGTACCATGTTTTTTAAACACCCGCGAAGGTACTACTTTTTCTCCGAAGGTACTACTTTTTTGAACTGAAGGTACTACTCTTTTGAACTGAAGGTACTACTTTTTTTGTTAGGGAAGGGCATTTTAGGTACCACAAATTTTTAAACAGTAAAAAACCATGTGCCACCTCAGCAATCCATTTTAGAGAAATATGGAACTTTGACTCAGTCTCTAAGTAAATATGGAACTTTGACTCCATTTATATGTAATTTTCCCTTTAATTAAAGATAAAAAAACTTACATCAAGATTTGAGTAAATCTTAAAACTCTCTTCTAATGTAAATGTTCTCACTTATTATAGATTCCTTAGTTATATGCCTATTCCTTAGTCCGCTATCTTCTTGATACTGATCCTTCCTTTAGGAATCACCCATAAACCTCCATGAATAACCTTGGAGAGCTAAACTTGTAAGAGCCTCCATTAAATGAGAAAACTAACCCTAAAATCTTAGAGAGAATATTTTTTTGTCTTTCAAAATTAATGCACAGAGGAGTAACTTAAAATATACATGGACCCCATGTATATATATAAGCAAAATAAAAATAAAAATTGAAGATAATATATTTTTCTCAATCTCTAAAATTCAAGTGATATCTCAAATCTAATGGGCCTCTAATATTAAGTTGGGCTATGAGTGAGAATCCTTTCGCCTTATTATTTTCTTGGCTACAATGAATTAATAATTGGCCCCGTCCATTATACCATGAACCCAATTTAATTATTTCATAAATCAATTTTTACTCCACTAAAAGAAATTAATTGAACTCCAATTAAATAATAAATAACTTCTAAGTCAATGTTGCATTTTGACCCCTCCATACATAATTAGTTATCGGATAAATAAAGCCATCAATTTGACTACTAAATTAATATATTTATTTTGGTACCTTTAATTATTTCCGACTTGATCACAATAAAATTTGTTTTGACAAAAATAATAATTTAGTAAATAAATACATAAAAAATCATTTTGTCTAAAATACACAAAGGCTTTCGAATTTACTTTGTGATCAACTATAATCAATGCAAAATAAATACAAGTAGCAATGAAGCAAATATTGAGAATATAACCCTCTAATTATTAATTACATAATTACCCAAAGTGCTGTTCTTTGGATTCCAAAGAATCCGCTGAACAAATTAAAGTAATTACTAATTAATAAAAAAACCTATACTTCTCTCATGCTTAAGAGTCAAATGCCATAACAGTGATAGGGAGTAATTGTATACAACGACTCTCGCAATATATCTCAACCTAACGCGGATTTGGTTCAAGTCTTAGTTAATTAAGGGTCCATCCAAAATTACCGACTATGAACCATTTATAATTATTATTTATGTTCATGTATTGATCGTCATCACATACATATAAACATTTCTTGTAATCAAGTGAACACTATCAATTCCATAATGAATTGAAACATAATATATTGAATTCACCAATTGTATAAAGTATAAATATTTCAGATACGTTATGAATATATGTCACTTCAATCTAAATAGGAGTTCGATATGCCAGGGTATACAAATCCCAACAATCTCCTACTTACCCTCATATCCAATTCGAATCCCATCTAACTCTCATGTTATCCAGGTGACGATCAAAACTATTGATCGATGACACCTTTGTGAATTGATCAACAACGTTGTATTCCGATGCAATATTCTCAGCCACGAGTACATTTTATTGACGGACAATATCATGTAGGACATGATATTTCCTCTCAATATACGTTATTCCTCTATGGAGCCCTAGGTAATTGGTTTAGGCTACTTCTGCACTATTATCACAATATAACTTGATAGGCAGGCTAGTATGCTCCACAACCTCTAAATCAGTGAGATCAAACCAAAAGGCTTCCTTTACTGTCTTTAAGGCTGCAATGTACTCCACCTTCAGGGTTGAGTCAGTAGTCGAAATCTGCTTAACACTCTACCAACTGATTTATTTTCCAATGAGTGAACATACACCAAGTCTTGGACCTCATAGTATCTACATCTCATTAACAATCAGAACTAGCATACCCGATTGGTTCTCCTAAGGTACTTTATGATATTTTCCACAACGGACCAGTTATCAAATCCGGGATTGGACTGATATCTACTGACTATCCCTGCAGTGTAGCGGATGTCCTGTCTGGTATAAACTATGACATATATGAGACTCCCACATGCCGAAACATATTATTCCAGTCTCATTTGCTCAATCTCCTCTGTAGTCTTGGAAAGCTACTTATTTGAGAGAGCAATTCATGTCAATAAAGTAAGAACTCATTCTTTGAGTTTTGCATACCAAACTTAGTCAAAACTTTATTAATGTAGGATTGTTAAGATAACCCTATTTTCCTTTTAACCTGATCTTGCAAAAGCTAGGTCCTAGGAATATAGCTTATATCTTGAAGATCCTTCATTCCAAAGTAATTGAACAACTACCTCTTTTTTTGATAACGAAGCTTCCATGTCATTATAAATGAGTAGGATGTCATCAATATATAGAATTAGAAAAATAATGACATTACCCTGTACACACATGGTTCATTCACGTTTCGTTCAGAGTTAATAGTTTGACTGCTTGATTAAAATGAATGTTATAACTGCGTAAAGCTTGGTTGAGGTCATAAAGAACCTTTGCAACTTACTTACACGATCATTTCAGTCTTTCACTAAGAAATCTTCTGGTACCCTCTTGTAGATTAACTTGCCATCAATAGGTATCACCCTACTAGGAAGTTCTACAAGATCCCAGATTTTATTAGATTACATTGATTCCAACTCTGATTTTATAGCAACTTGCCAAAATGATCTGTATTCATATCGGTTCACGCTTTCGTGTAACTTACTGGGTCCAACTTATGTTTAACAGTGATGTCCATAAAGGTCTCACCTAAAAATATAATTATGTCGGATTAGATGATAATCCTCCCACTACAATAATGTACCGATGCAGGAATCTGTGTACTAGATGAGGCTGACGCATTAATAGAGAATTCAAATATAATTCTGAATCTCTATAATAAGTGTGTTTATATGTGGTATAATTGGTACTCTGGCCATCTCCTCTAACACTATTATGCTACTGGGTATGTGATTTATAATATGATCCTCCTATAGATAAACTGTGAGTGTTAACAATCAACTTTTATCATTGAGATCATAAATTATTGCATCCTAGCCAGTACTTTAGAGTTGCCACCAAATCAAGCATGCCTATGATCTACTTTCAACTTACTTGTCTATATCAAGCGCACATGTGCTAGACTGCCCCATATGTGCTTGTGATTCAAACTAAGATTTAGTAAAAAACATAACTCAAAAGGTATATCCTTGAGATAGACTAAGATGGAATACAGTTCATTATTTGCATCGATATCGTGAAGGCCAAACTCCAAAATGAAAGAGGTAATGTAGCACAACTAATCATAGATCTAACCATGTTAAGTAGAATTATGTTATTCCTCTTTAACACCTCAATCCATTGAAGGTAGTCAATTGCAGAAAACTGGTACAACACCCTCATTGACCGTATAGTCTTTATACTATCCCAAGAAATACTCACATCCACAATCAAATCGA